GACCGTTAAGGTTCCAACCAAGAAAACACAACACAAATTTTAAAAATGATATAATCAAGATTTAATAAAAAATAAAGATTTGAAATAAGCATAGCAGAAACTTGTGCACGTGGTTCTGGCCCATAGCGGTATTACCATCGTGTATCAGTGGAGCGACGATTGGATACATCAATGGAATATAACATACAAAGAGACATATATTAAAAAAATTAGAGGAATAACCTGGCGGTGGTGAAAACCAGCCAACCTACCCAAAACCCCCCAAAAAAAAACCATTTCTATTGATACTCATATTGCAGCAATTCATTTAACTAATTGAACAAAATTTTTTAACAGGTGGCAACTCTGTTAATGTTTTAACCTTTATTTACTTGATTTTAAACATTTTCAATTCTATATGTCAAAACACGTCTTTTCTAAACATTTCGTGTTGAAATATTCATAAAAATAATTTTGGCCGCATAAATCGGCTAAATACCCCTATGTGCGCTGGGGATAAATTAAATAAGAGAAGCAATTTCTAGGAACTGGATGCGATGCATTGCTTGAGAAAATAAGAGGAGATTTAATGAACATCCACTTGTTTGGAAGTCTTCAAGCTTCTTATTCCATAAAAAATAGGTAATGTTCCACACATCGAGTTACACATACGCGTTCCACAAGTAAGTTTTACAGTTTCTTTGATATACACTCACAGTTTGAACTTTGCTCGAGTTTTTCTACACGTAGCATGTGGAAAAAACCAAATATCATCTACCCATAAAATCAAAGATCCAAAATGTAACGATCTAAGAATAATCATTCACAAAATTTTATTTGAAAAAATCGGCGAACATATTTGCTGTGCCATTAATTGATGATGACTGCTTCCCTTCGTACTGCATGGAAATTGGATATACCGAGGAAGTAAGCTTGGAGTTGATAAGGGTGCAAAAAGCTTTAGGATTAGTTTCGATATTATTTTCGAAACTCATTAAGTAATTGTTATATAACAACTTGTTTAAACAATTAAACTCAGCCATATATTTCTCGAACAACGCTTTATGCTGCTTCATACTACCATTATTCTTAAAGTCTATATTGATGGCAGTTGCAAAGCTGACGAACTGTAAAGGAAAGGTATGACCACCTTAAACCTTCCAGAAAAGGCCACGTTAGATATAGCAATAGCTACTTTTAAGCAGTTTTTCAGAGATCACACCATTCTAGGGTAGTAGTGCACTTTAGCGGAACCAGGTCAAAAACCAGGTCTTGACGCCAATAATAATAATCAGAGACCAGGAATTAACATTTTTAATTCACTAAAGAGTTATTCACAAAAGGCACTTTTCGCTTTGCACATTCTTTTTAAATACAAGACATTTTTATAAAACACCCAGTAACCATAATAGACATCACTGGGGCGGCAGCCCCAGGTTTACCACACAGAAAGGGAATTCTATTTACCTCACCCTTTCCCAAGGCTACATCACTGTTGGTGCACACCAAAAGGAGAATTCTATTTGGTAAGGGTTATAATCCTAACGCGCGGCCTAAGGCCGCCTACGCAGAAAGGAATTCTACGCAAAAATACTGTGAACGCAAGTGAAAATTGTGCTTTTTGGCCAATTTTCTAAGGGGTCCCTAGGGAACCATAGGGAATAACTCTAAAATTAATTAAAAACCTTAATTTCCGGTCTCGGATTGTTGTTATTCGCGTTTAAACGCGTAGATTGATACCCCTCTTGATTTTTTATTGGTCAATTTTGGCCTGGCTCCGCTTTTACCCATTCTAGTAATCAAGGAACGTTGGATCTACTTTTCGCCTTGCGAAACTTTCAGGATTATCTGGTATTTCTATAAAAAGAAACGCTTACGGGCCACTTCCTAATGTGGAATCAGAATCTGTATTGACCAAAGCGACAACGCTGTATGTATACTACCCTACAATACGCGATTAACAGAAACTCCAACACATTCACAAGGAAAACTAACACATATGCAAAATTTTATATGTTAGTTTGGCCCTGTAGTGAATGATTGCCATTAGATCGATCAAGTGAGTGGCAATGCTGATAGAAGTAACGGTTGTTGGTTACCATAGTAACCGCAAGATTCACTAGGCCTGCATTTTGTGCTCAACAAAAGTAGTTGTACCTGCCAAATTATGTCGAGTACTGAAGTATTTGGATATAATTTTGAACTTAATTAGTTTAAACGATAATTTTATCATTATTCGACCCTCTCATAGCAAAAGTAAGTAAAAGTAAAGTAAAATANTGACAACACATTTTAAAGCATTTTGTTGCATCATTTTACCTAAATTGTGCGTTTAAAGTGGCTGACAATAATTTTGGCTAATTTTGGTTTTCGTTGTTTTCTTTGCTTTGTTTACTTTTCGCTCGTTTTCCAGTGAAACAAGATGGCGTAGAACCCGCTAAAAAAATCGACTTTTTTCACTCTCTTGTTCTTACGTGATCTTGTGTCTTTCGTTCATGTGTCGTGGAGACATCGTATAACGGTTGTTGGTTGCCATAGTAACCGCAAGATTCACTAGGCCTGCATTTTGTGCTCAACAAAAGTAGTTGTACCTGCCAAATTATGTCGAGTACTGAAGTACTTGGATATAATTTTGAACTTAATTAGTTTAAACGATAATTTTATCATTATTCGACCCTCTCATAGCAAAAGTAAGTAAAAATGAAAGTGTTTATTGTGGTATGACATATTTTTATATATAAACGTAATAAATAAAACCGTATTATAAAGTACTTGGTACTAAAGATGTTCAAATACGCACATCAACAGAAAAAAGAAAGACGCAAAACGAAAAGATTCTCAAAACTCAAAGTGCTGTGGAAATATAAAGATAAGTTTTATAAAATATTTCATTTAAAATGAAGAAAAGAGCTTTTAATAACGCCATGAGCAAGAAAAACTGATTTACGAATCCAATATTAAAAAATTTTATCGACATCGCCAGTTCTCTTTGAGTTCGGCATTCAAATTTTAATCATCAGTGGTGTAAATTTACGGAATTATGAGTGATCAACCTTGATTGGAATATAAGTCAGCAATGTGCAATCAAATTTGATGTAATAACCGACCAATCATGACACATCAAGTCTGACATGTTTTCATATCATTGTTGATTACTCACAGTTTATGTAAAAATTCGTCAAGTCTGATCTCTCACGCATGATATAGAAATCTATCATTTATGACACAGTTAATACTTGTTTTTTCTTTTATTTTTATAAAATCTTATGAACTACTCTGCAAGAACAGTGACTATCATTTGACAAATCATTTGAGTGGCAAGACTGATAGAGATTTCTGTCACTGGCTACCTACAAGTTTCTATCAAATTCTAAAGGGCAGTCTGAAAAATCTGATGTAAACATTTGTGTACATGTGACCTTCCGTTTTCCTCCAACTTATCTTTAATGGTCTCTTTAATTTTCTCTTAACATTCTCATGAGAATGTGTTAGTTTCCATCACACAATTCTTGTAGGGTAATTATTAATCATCAAAAAATTATAAGCTAAGTACATTACTTCGAATTAGGAGCTAAATATATTTCACTAAGTACAGTACATTATACATTGAATGAACAAAGGAAATGTGGCCAAAAATTAAGCAAAATAAGGCATTTCTATTATTTTTGCCACCAGCGTTCATATGTAAATACTTAAATCTAATATCTTAGTATTATAAAGGGTGAACACACCAAAACTGCGACACTTAGAAATTACTACCAGAAGCAAACTAGAAGGCTTTGAAATTATTATTTTTTGTATTATATAACTTGGAAGTTTAGATGTTATTAAAATGTTAAAATATTAGTTATTATTTGCTCCATATGCAAGTGATCGGTATTTTCATCGCACACGCGCCATCATGTTCTGCACGACTGCATCATCGACATTACGCGATGCGCACCACTACTTTGTTTTGCACTCTTCAATAATTTTCACTCTTTCACCTGTTTTCTTCAAGATTCCTTTGACAATTGACCAATATTCCCCAATAGGACGTGGCTCTGGGCTATTGGGTGGATTGCAGTCGTGAGGTACAAAATTGATGTTATTTGCATTATACCATGGCAATGTGTTCTTGGCATAGTGGCAGGTTGCCATGTCCGCCTAGAACGATGGCCTACTCCTTATCTGTTGATAAATGACAGAAGACGCCTTTTTAGGCACTCATCCCGATAAACTTGATCATTCATTGTCCGGGATGGGAAAAAAGGGCTGCTCTTACGGCCGCAGGAACAAATAGCTTGCCAAACCATGTGGTTTTTGGAAATTTGGACTTAATTTTCAGCTTACAACTTTCAGGGGCATCTTGACGACTTGCAGCAGTATAAAAATCTTGACCTGCAATATATTTTGAATTTTTATAGCAGTAGGTTTCGTAGTCCATAACAATGCGGTTGTATTTTTTAATTTAGAATTCATACAACTTCCGAATGCGGGATTTCGCTGTAATATTCTACTTTGCGCCTCGGTCTGGCGCTGTTGTGAGCTGTAGAACATCTCAATGAAGCTTTCCGCTTTACCTTTTGTACGAAAAACTGCGAACTCAGTACGGATTTTGCAACATAACCCGACAAAATCTTCGGATCTCGCGAAAACGCACTGAGGACCTTCCGAGCACTGTTTTTATCACTTTGACCATGCTAACCCCCGCTCCCTGGTTTTCTCGTAACTGTCAGGCCTTATTTGTACCGATTAAAACCCTGCAAACTGTCGAATAGTGCACTCTTTAATTTTTTAGCAATTTTACGTGTACTTAAGGCCGGAGCATTTATAAACTCGTGCAAAATGGTTTGTCTCGTTTCTAGCTCGGTTGCCATTTTTAACTCAACAAGGAATCAAATTCAAATGAAATTTCTTCTACGTTCAACTAAGCTCATGGTCAACTTATGGTGTTTGAATTTCAAATTCGTTTTGGGTAAGTTATAACTCCCCAAAGTGTCGCAGTTTTGGTGTGTTCACCCTTTACATGTCCAGCCGAAGTGTTTTTAGATTTTTTGGTGCAAGCGGTGATGGCTGAGCTCAGTTGCCTTCTTGATTTCTTTTTGGAACTCAACAGGACCTTTCTTTTTAAATGCATCTATGTGGAATGAAATAGATTACCAAAAAATTGGTTTGTTAAAAGATATGTACATATGTATACGGTAGTGGCCACATAATTAGGGATATTATTTCTTGATAAGTTTTGACCATTTTTTTAAGAACTTGCGCTGATTTTTGAGAATTTTTGACAAGTATGTTAAAAAGGTTTATATGTATATAGTTATAAATAAATAAAGAAAATATAAATGGTCAGAACTTGTAGTGTTCCTAATATGTGTACATATTACCTCGTAGGATTGTGTCAACCAGTTAAACTGCAGCAATGCCTCGTCCGAAGATAAATGTTTAATACCGCTGGCTACGTCCTCAAACACACCTTTTATTTTTATGATATAAGTGGTCTTTCGAAAAATTGATGTACAGCAATTAGAACGTGAAATATGTATTCCATAAAATATAAATCATTACCATGGCTTATGTATACTCTGGATTTTTTAATTTTGTTTCTATTAAATCCACAGCGCAATAGGCCTGCAGTGGTAGAGAACTGGCGATGTCGATAAAATTTTTTAATATTGGACTCGTAAATCAGTTTTTCTTGCTCATGGCGTTATTAAAAGCTCTTCTCTTCATTTTAAATTAAATATTTTATAAAACTTATATTTATTTTTCCACAGAATTTTGAGTTTTGAGCATCTTTTCGTTTTGCGTCTTTCTTTTTTCTGTTGATGTGCGCATTTGAACTTCTTTAGAACCAAGTACTTTATAATACGGTTTTATTTATTACGTTTATGTATAAAAATATGTTATACCACAACAAAAACTTTTATTTTTACTTACTTTTGCTATGAGAGGGTCGAATAATGATAAAATTATCGTTTAAACTAATTAAGTTCAAAATTATATCCAAGTACTTCAGTACTCGACATAATCTGGCAGGTTAAACTACTTTTGTTGAGCACAAAATGCAGGCCTAGCGAATCTTGCGGTTACTATGGCAACCAACAACAGTTACTTCTATCAGCGTTGCGACTCATTTGATCGATCAAATGACAGTCATTCACTACAGGGCCAAACTAACATATAAGATTTTGCATATGTGTTAGTTTTCGTTGTGAATGTGTTGGAGTTTCTGTCAATCGCGCCTTGTAGGGCAGTCTAGCAATATGCCAAAACGTATATGTTAGAAGGAGATGAAGCATCACACGTACACAAAATTTTCCATCAGATCTTTCACACTGCGCTTTAGAATTTGATAGAAACTTGTAGGTAGCCACAGACAGAAATCTCTATCAGTCTTGCTACTCAAATGATTTGTCAAATGATAGTCACTGTTCTTGCAGGGTAGTTTTCCGTCACCCCCTTCGCTAAGTGTAAGAAAATTCCGCGCGGTTCATTAGGTGTAATTTATTTCAATAACCCTTTTGGGACGGCTTTCGAGCCGTGGAGCTAATTCAAATTTAATTATTGCAGTACATTATTATGTGTCGTATTAACATATGTGAGGTGGAAAAATGTCAACAATTGCATTCGGTGGGGTAGGAGGGGGTGGTACATATTTGTACCATCCGTCTTTTTAACTGGTACACTAGTGTACCATCCGTCCTGTGGAACAAACATTAGAGAACGGGAGTACTTAATTATTTAATTATAGTTCATTTATAGTCTTCCAATTATTCAAGATTTTTATGTAAGAATATGCTAAAATTATAGTAAGGAAATACGAAGTGTTAGAAACGGAAATATTTCAATTAATATTTTATTAAGAGCAATTCATTGTTTTTTTAATCCTTTTTTTATAAAAATGAAGGTAGAAAATAATAACAAAAATAATACTAGTGCACAAACATATAAGTGATGAGGGACGCTGTGGCGTAGTGGTAAGCAGTGCGCGCTTCCACTCCGCAGCACCTGGGTTCAAGCCCTGGTCAAAGCAACATCGCAAAAAAAATATAGAAAAAAGTTTTTTTTTTTAACAGCGGTCGTCCCTCGGTAGGCAATGGCAAACATTTCTGCCATGAAAAACAGCTTCTCATAAAAATACAATCTCCGTTCGGAGTCGGCGTAAAACTGTAGGTCCCACCGATTTGTGTGACAACATCAAGGCGCACGCCACAAGTCGGAGGAGAAGCTCGGACAAACACTAACATATGTATAAGCGCCAATCTATTATTATTATTATTATTAAGGGACAAATTACACTGCATACAAAATATTTTTTTCCGTGTTTGATTTCTTTGTTACGAGAAATTAACACAACGCCGACATGTTGTTAGCTCAGATGGGAGAAGACAACATGCTCATATTTTCTGAGGTCGCTTACCTGCCTTTAGAGCTCTAGGAACGACAAAAGTTTCAACCCATTCTTTATCAAAACTTCAGCTAACGTCGCTAAACAAATTTTTAAATTGCAGCCCTGTGCGATTTAGGGATTTTGAGATATGCTGCCATCTTAATCAAACGATAAAAAACTATTTCCACTATTTATCAGACTTCCTATCGTATCAACATAACAAACTCATTTGCTACGCCACCTATAATTTCATGATAAAACTTTATTTGATCTGGACGTTCCAATTGTAATTGACTTTTTTTTAAGTTGTCGTTACCGCTATCATCGGCTCGTGGCAATTACTAATTACCTACTAAAACTTTTTTGCTATCTTGCCGTTTTTCACACAACAAGCCAGATGATGTTCTCCTTAATAGCGCTTCGCTGCGCTGCAATTTATTTGGGCCAAAATTTGGTAAATTTTTTCTGTTGCAGTACTCAAATCTGGATAAGAAATTGCATCATATAAATTTTGCATATGAAAAAATCGATCAAAACATAAAGCCACGTTTTTTAACTTGATTGAACCAGCCACTTTATTTACGACTTGCCCTCCAAGAGTTCCTGATGATGCACACTTCAGAGGTACACATAGGTACCATTGAAAGGAACTATTGGTACATATATGTACCACATTTAATTATAGTACGAAAAACACAATAAATATAGCAATGTCGTAACCTGCGACGATGAAGTCACTAAAACACTTTATATCTACTTCATTTCCTCACGTTGCAATCAACCCGCGGCCCATACTCCCCGAGAATTGAACGAAAACTAAAAAAAATGGCACATTTACTATCGACTATTACAAGAAAACACACAAATTTTCACTCAAGAACTCAATAAGAACTAAAGTACGGACGGAATGGTAATTTTTTCAAGCAAATCAGCTTTTAGGCATGTTTAAACTTTTACTGGTGCATATATATACCAGTCGTAGGGATACATCTCAACAAAGATACTTAAACTTAGCCAAAAACATAGAGGATTTTCATATTTTTTTAATTTTAACCCTATTCAAAATACTTTCAAAGTAAATAATTCTTAAACTTCATTCGTCTGACCTATATGTGATATATATATGTATTTCAATAAACTAAATGACCTAATTTAAGAAAATTTGGATTTTTAAACAGGTTGCCATGCTTCTACATTTAGTTATAAATAAGATTGTTTTAAAGTCATTTCGATTGGTACTTGTATTTTTAATAATTTATTTAACTTACAGAATAATTTGAATTGAATTTAAATTTTAAACAGGTGGCGCAACCCTCTTCAAACTCTTCAAAAATAATCTTCATGTTTAGCCTCTTTCGTCTGACACCCATATATATTGTGATACACATTTCAATTACCTATTTTGCTTAATTCAAATTAAATTTGATTTTTTAAACAGGTGACAACCCTCCATCTAGTTTGCAAATAAAGCCTTTTCAAACCCATTTCCATTGATACCCATATTGTAATAATTCATTTCCCTTAATTGAATTTTATTGTTTAATAGGTGGCAACCCTTTACATGTTAGATAGATAGATTTGTTAGAGGATGTGCACTGCGAATTTAGTTCTATTGTGCCCTCAGAGCTCATCACAACCCCTCGTCCAGCCCTAGTGCTCTGATGAAACCAAGCAGTTTCGAAGGCTGTAGAGTGAATGTCTGAAGCCTCCGGCCACAGCTTTTCTAGGTGTGTTTGCCTTATTCTCGACACCGCGTCACATTCTAAGAGGATATGCGTAGGCATAAATCAATACCATCAAAGTATTACTCAAATCAGTGCTTGTACTTGTATCAAGCAAGGTATCGATACCTAGTGATGTCCCGATACCAGTACTTAGAAGTATATACTCGAGTACTTCTACCAAGTACCGAGTATTTTTTGTACTTCGATACGTGGGAACAAGTACTTCATGGGTATCGAGTACAAAGTTCAAGTATTTACTTGTTTGCTAAATTTGGGAAAATCAACTGAAAATAGATCTGTGTTGTAGTTTTTGAAAAAAATGATTCAAGATGTGAACCACTCGATTTCGCTAGGGTTAGAACTAACGAAAGTGGAGAACGAAAATCGTATCGAATTAAAGGAGGATGTGGAGCCAGCCTATGATTTGCGGAAGCGTCGTCTATAGATCGTTTTGAAACCGAAGAATCAAACACATGTAAACAATGAGCTTTCTCATTACTTAACATCTCCAATTTCGGCACTTCCAAGTAACCCCATTTTAAAATAGAAGGATATGAAAAGTAATTTTCAGCTCTTCATAAGCTTTTCTCCACTGTATGTTGTTATATTGTAAATGGGCATTGAATTAAAATTTCTTGTGTGAGTACTTTTCGAGTACAAGTAGAATCGGGTTTTTCCTAGCAATAATTTGAGTAGCATCGAGTATTCTCTTCGATACTTTTAATGAGTATAGGCATCGAGTACATGGTGGTATCGGACGAACACTATCGATACCTACTCTGTGCAGCGGTGCAACGGCTGCGTACTTGATAGCTCAATGGTTTGCAGTTTGTTGCACCGATGTTATTTTAGAGATATGGTGGAAATAAATAAAGACAGGAATTAGTCTTCCGTATAAAATGTAATTCTTTTATTACAAAGTATGTATATATATTTCGCTATGTATGCACAAATATTGGATTGGAAAATTAACTTTTACCTCAATCGCTTATGACGTCGGGTGATGGCTGATAGACGTCCTCTTTTGATCTCCAGAAAAGAAGTGACCGATCTCCTTTTTACGAAATTAGGTTCAACCTCCAAACAGTAAAACTGTTTGGATGGGTAACTTAACGAAAGCTAATTTGGCGGAAAGTATTACATGCAAATGTATACATGCCCGTGTGTATAAATGAACATTAGGGTGGTACACCCATTGCATTATTTTGAGTTTAGGGTGGAGGCCTAAACATACCGGCCCCCTTGCTACAAGCAACATCTATTACGACTCAGCCATCACACCGCGTTGAGTAACTAGTTACAAATTCGAATTTAAGTAGTAAAAATGTCAGCTGGTTGTCATCCGATCAGTCGGACTTCCTGGTTGCCACCTGTGCTTCCATCTTCGCCTCCTAGAGCTGTAGATATGATGCGAAAGAAAAGGTTAAGAGAACAAGGCATGGTTGGACATTTCATTGCACTTCATTTATTAAAAATTCATATTCATTTAAAAAAAAAGTATATATATACATATGTATATATATAATAGAGTGGTTCCAAAAAACATTTTTTTTTTGGAAATTCATAAACGCTACCTCAAATTATTGTTATTTGTGATAAAATAAGAGAAACGTATTTTTTTATTTTGAAAAAAAGTTCGTTTAA